ACACCCCAAGGCTGAGCCCCAGCCCCCCACGGCGTGGGTACCATGGGCAGCCCCTCTCCCGCAGCCATGTCCCCGGAGCCGATGTGCGTCAGGTGCACGAAGTTCATGGGCTCCCCGATCATGGAGCGGTCGATCCGCCTCCTCCTTTTCTTCTGCGAGGGGAAGAAGAGGCCATCAGCCCCCCGCTGCCCCCAGGGCCCTGCCCGAAATGGCAGCACGGGAGGTACTCACGGGCTGGGGCTTCTCCACCACGCAGCAGCCCAGCTTGTGCCAGAAGTCGCTCATGCTCGCGGTGCTGGCAGCCAGCGTCCCCCCGAGCTGCCGGGACCCCTGCGCAGGGTCACTCCATGGGGACACAGCGTGGAGAGGAGCAGCTGGCTGTGAGTGGGAAGGGAGAGCGATGTTTCCAGGCCTGACCTCCCCGAATGAATCCTCAAGCGACTTCCCATCAACCAACAAAAAGCAGAGAGCCCCCAGCAGACCCCTGGGGTCACACACGGACCATCCAAGGGGACACCTGTCATTGCAAGGAGGTCCCCAGGGAGTCCCAGAGGTTGGAGACGTACCAGGGACCCCTGGGCATCGCACAGACACCCCCAGAGCTGTCCCCATGGCCAGGGCTGGATCGGGGCCAGGCCTTGTCCCCCGCTCCAGGGCAGGACACAGCTGAAGGATGCTGCGGCAGGATGGGGGGGATGGAGGCAGCCATGGCAAATCCCAACTCCCTGAGCCAGGCAGCTATAAATATCCTTTCTGAAAAGGGGCCGGAGCCTGAGCTCTTCCGCTCCAGCTTTTGAAGCGCAGCCGGGCGAGAAATAAACAGGGACTGGTGGGATTTTAGCCCAAACTCCCACGGTACTGCCTGGATGGGCGAGGAGATGTGGAAAAGGGGGGTTCACCCCCAAAATGGGGGTTAACTCATGCCAAGGAGAGATGACTCCCTTGATGCAAAAGCCCCCGGTGGCACTCAGGGAACTCACCCGCCCACGGGGGGCCGTGGCCGGAGCTCAGCCCGGTATCAGCCACGGGAGAGCCCCCAGGCACGGCCGGTGGGTGCCGGAGCCGCGGCAAACGGGACGAGCTCCTTCCTCTGCCCCGGCGCCGGTGCCGCCGGACGGACCAAAGTCCGGCCGCACTTCCTGCTGCTGCCAGGGAGGAGCGGGGCCGTGGGGCAGCTCCCCAAAACTGCTCCGAGCCCAGCCTGGGCACGGCCCCATCCACGATCTGGCCCCGTGGACCGCATGGAATCCCCCCGGTAACCGGGCATTCCCGTGCACCCATGGGGTGGGTGCTCCCTGTGCTGCTCCCATCACCACCAGCTTGGCACAAGAAGAGCACCCCTGTGTCCGTGTCCCCATGTCCGTGTCTGTGTCCCCGTGTCCGTGTCCCCGTGTCCGTGTCCGTGTCCCCGTGTCCATGTCCCCGTGTCCGTGTCTGTGTCCCCGTGTCCGTGTCCGTGCCCGTGTCCGTGTCCGTGTCCGTGTCCCCCTGTCCGTGTCCCCGTGTCCGTGTCCGTGTCTGTGTCCCCGTGTCCGTGTCTGTGTCCCTGTGTTCGTGTCCGTGTCCGTGTCCCCCTGTCCGTGTCCCCGTGTTCGTGTCCGTGTCCGTGTCCCCGTGTCCGTGTCTGTGTCCCTGTGTTCGTGTCCGTGTCCGTGTCCCCGTGTCTGTGTCCCCGTGTCTGTGCCCGTGTCCGTGTCCCCGTGCCCGTGTCCGTGTCCGTGTCCGTGTCCGTGTCCCCGTGTCTGTGCCCGTGTCCGTGTCCGTGTCCGTGTCTGTGTCCGTGTCCGTGTCCGTGTCCCCCTGTCCGTGTCCCCGTGTCCATGTCCGTGTCTGTGTCCCTGTGTCCGTGTCCGTGTCCGTGTCCCCGTGTCCGTGTCCCCGTGTCTGTGCCCGTGTCCGTGTCCCCGTGCCCATGTCCGTGTCCGTGTCCGTGTCCGTGTCCCCGTGCCCGTGTCCGTGTCCGTGTCCGTGTCCGTGTCCCCAGCGAGCCCCTCCGCCAGCGCAGCACCGGGGCCGGGCAGGCTGCCACACGTCCCGGTCGGTGCACACCGGCTCCGTGCCCCCTGCCGAACGCAGCTCTCCCCCCTCCCCGGCTGCGGGGCAGATGAGGAGGGGGCTGCGTTTCCTTCCCAGCCCGACTTCCTGAATTTCCTTAGGAACCGCGGCCCCGGAGGGCGCCGGGATCCGGCAGGGCCTCGCCGGGGCTGCGTGGGGAGCCGCCGGTGAAAGCTCCGCGGCTCGCACGGCCACGACCCCTGCCCGCGCCCCCCGGCACCCGCCGGGGCCTGGCGTCCTCGAAAGGGCCCCGGCGGCTCTCGGCCCGATCCCCGCTCCGAGGGTCGCACGCCCCCCGCAGCCCCGGCGAGGAGCCGTGCCCGGGCTCAGCCCACCGGGGCCCGGGCAGGGCGGCTTCGGGCCCGGCCCTGCCGGCACAGGCAAAATGACTTCCCGGTTGGGAAAGCACCGCTCGGCTCTGCGTCACCGCCGGGCTCCGGCAGCGGGGTCCGCCCCGAGCCCCCCGCACTGGGGTCACCCACTGCGGGGTACCCGCTGGGGTCTCCGCAGCTCGGAGGGAAAGCCCCCGTGCGGGGACGGGGCTGGACGGGGTGAGAGTCCTGGGGTGCCCCGGCTGCGGGCCCGGGACCCCGGGATGGGGCGGCAAAGTGGGGCTTGCTTGCGAGCTTCGGTGCCGGCTGCGACCCCCGGGGCAGCGGCTGCTCCGCGGGGCTCCGCGCACTCCGGGGGTCCCAGCAGCGTTCGGGACCCCGCGGGTCCTGCCCGGGTTGGTGGGACCCGGCAGGCCTTGGGACCCCGGTGGTCCCGGTGGGGCTGCGGATCCCGGCAGGACTCCCCGGTTGCACCAGCGAGCTGCCGGGGGGGTGGTCCCGCCGCCCCGCTCCCGTGCCGGTGCCGATCCCGGTGCCCTCTCCGCCTTCCTGCGGCGGTTCCGGGGGCCCTTCCGCGGGGTCGCACCCGCCGGTTCCCGTCCCGGCGGCGGCCCCATTACCTGTCCCGGCGCGGGAGCGGGTCCCGGTGCCGGTGTCCGGCTCGCAGCCCCACGCGTGGCTCGGAAGTCCCGGTCCCGCTGCCGGTGTCCTGCTCGCAGCGGCCCCAAGCGTGGCCCGGGCGTGCAGGTCCCGATCCCCGTGCGAGCCCCGCTCCCGGTGCCGGTGCCGGAGCCCCGCTCGCAGCCCAGGCGTGGCTCGGGGGTCCTGGTCCCGGTGCGGGTTCCGGTGCCGGTGCCCCGCTCGCAGCCCGAGGCGTGGCCGGGAGGTGCCGGTGCCGGTGGCCGCTCGCAGCCCCAGGCGTGGCCCGGTGCGGACGCGGCGCTGCTCCCGCCGCCCGGCGCGGCTCGGCCCGGCCCGGCCCCGGTACAGCGCCCTCCCCGGGCACCGCCAGCACTGCGGGGCTGCGGGAATGGGATCCCGGTGGGAGCGGGGGTCCCGGTGGGAGTGGGAGTTCCGGTAGGAATGTGGGTCCCGGTAGCAGTGGGGATCCCGGTAGGAGTGGGGGTCCCGGTAGGAATGGGGCTCCCGGTAGGAGTGGGGGTCCCGGTGAGAATGGGGGTCTTGGTAGGAATGGGGGTCCCGGTAGGAGTGGGGGTCCCGGTATGAGAGGGGGTCCCGGTGGGAATGGGGGTCTTGGTAGGAATGGGGATCCCGGTAGGAATGGGGGTCCCGGTATGAGAGGGGGTCCCGGTAGGAATGGGGCTCCCGGTAGGAGTGCGGGTCCCGGTGGGAATGGGGGTCTTGGTAGGAATGGGAGTCCCGGTAGGAATGGGGGTCTTGGTAGGAATGGGGGTCCCGGTAGGAGTGGGGGTCCCGGTGGGAATGGGGGCCGTGGGACCCCCCAGCGCCACCCTGCAGCTGGTGTTGAGTGGTTTCACCATTTCCAGCCCGGTGCCCTTCCGCTTGCACAACATCTGGTGGGCTGCTGCCAC